GTGAGTGTGTGTGCGTGAGTGAGTGTGTGTGCGTGAGTGAGTGTGTGTGTGTGTGTGTGCGTGAGTGTTTGTTTGTGTGTGTGTGTGTGTGTGTTCAGAGAGGCTGTGGTTATTCCGGGAACAGACTCCAGTCTCTCTCTATGGAAATATGAAACCAGTCTGTGACATTTTAGAAGCCACTTCCTCCTCAGAACGCTCTGTGTTTGGAGCTGCGCGTGTCGGGAGTTTTATATTTATCCGTGAGGCTGTGAGTCCTAATAAGGCCTGGGCTGGTCCATTTACACTCAGCTGTGGCCGTGTTGTGTAAAAACACCTGCACAAGCTGAAGAAAAACCCAGCGTCGCTGTAATGCTGGTGATCTAGTGCCTGTCATTTGTGCATCCTTTCATCCTCACAGCCTTTTCTGAGGTTTGCTTTCAGGAAAAGAGAAAGAAAATGCTTTTCTGTCCAACTTTTATTTTGCAAGAAATGTAGTAAGTAGATATTGACCGATACTGTTTATTCATAGCTGATTTTTAAGTGTTCTATAGACAATAAAAATACAAATATATATTTATAAATTATAATAATTTAATTGAATATAAATATAAATTATATATATATATATAGAGAGAGAGAGAGAGAGAGAGAGAGAGAAATTATTTAATAAAATTACATTATAATTAAATAATTTATTTCTATTATTTATGCTTATATTTTTTATTTATGCTTATATTTTAAATTTTAATGTTACATTTTTATTAGTTAATTGATACTTTTAAATTATTTATATTTTTCTTATGACACAATGATAATTATTATTATACTTCAGTAATAAAGGAATTATTAATAGTAATAATTTAGATTAAAATGCTATATATATATATATATAAATTAATTATTTTTTACTCCCTGCCTTTTAAATGTATTTACATTTTTTATTTAAATAAAAAAATTTAAAAACGTAAGTTAATTTTTCATTTTTTCTTTAAAATGTATTTAAATGTTTAATTTAAATTTGTATTTTTAATAACTTTTTTATTTCTACTTTGACACAATGACACCTCAGCAACAGAAGAATGTGTTACGAATATATTAATAGTAATAATTTAAATGTATATATGTATATATATATATTATTTGTAATAAACTGCTTTTAAAATATATTTAAATGTTTAACTTAAATTTTTATTTTTAATTACTGCATTTAAATTGTTACTTTTATTTCTAAAATAGAAACGATGATAGTTATTATTATACTTCAGCAATAAAATAATGTGCGTTATGAATATTTTAATACTAATAATTTAGAATAAAATGCCATGTGTTAAGCATTTCTGTAACACGTCTCGCCTGAGAATTAACGGCTGTTATGTCAAACGTTTTGGGAGTTATTCTAATCAAGCAATGTAACATATACTAGTTACCAGTCAGGATTTCACTTTTGTGTGTTCAGTGCATGTTAGCTGGAGCTTCAGTCATTTGAGCCTTGTTAAATTACTGTAATGTGCAAGCGTCCCAGACCTCCCTCCACACTTAACTAGTCTCCTCTCCTGTGTAATCAGACATGCCCAGACACAATATGGAAACACAGAGGAGTCAATGGGATCCGCTCATGAGATCGCCGTGGATTGTGAGAGTGGAGCCAGACACCGAAAGCAGCAGCACAGAGACCGAACGGGTAAATACACGTTTTCCTTTCAGAACCAGTCCCTCGGATCAGCCGCACTCATCTCTCGTTCTGTGCTTAACCAGCATCGAGTCAAACAGGGAGGCGGAGTCTCACTGACATCACCGTCGATGCTGCTGCAGCAGCGAATCACGGAGCTCGACCAGCAGAGGGAGGAGCTAAAGATTGAGGTGAGTTTCCTTAACGAACACGAAACAAGACTAAGGCACTCCTCTTCACGCGTTTTGTTTGAACAACGCCCCTTAGCTGTTATAAATTCACTGTAAACCATGGCTTCTTGGGGCTTATTGCTTGAAAGTGCAATACGTCTGATGTAATTTCTCAGTCACGATCAGTAATCATAATTTTGAGCAAAATAATTGTGATTATCAGTTTAACCACAATGCAGTGTGACTACAATGTGATTGACTAAAACTCCCAGGAGAGGTTGATTAACTATGATGAAATGTGCTGTGTGCAGCTGCAGCTGGAGGTGGCGCTGCTGCGCGGCGAGCTGCAGGCCGAGGAGGAGTGTCTGCGCAGGCACACAGAGCAGCTGCAGGTGCTGCAGGAGAAGGACAGGCAGCGCAGGAGCCGGCAGCGGGCCAGCAGACAGAAGGTCTGGATTTCATCGGTTTGTGATGTGTCATCAGAAGGGGTGTGACGGTGCACAAACATGACGGTTCAGTACAGCAGGGGGAAAAAACTAAACATAAAATTGCTTTTTTTAATATTAAACAGTGGATTACTGAACATATTGCTCTTTAAAAAAACATTTTTTTTAATTACAATAAAAATTTTCTTAGGGATAAAAATCTACCTCGGATTCTAGTCAAGTCACCTTTATTTTTATAGCGCTTTTAACAATACAGATTGGGTCAAAGTAGCTTTACAGCATTAATTAGGAAAATAGTGTGTCAATAATGCAAAATGACAATAGTAAATAATACATTTTCAGTTAAAGGCAGGTCATCATTGAATTCAGTGATGTCGTCATCCAGCTCAGTTCAGTTTAAATAGTATCTGTGCAATCAAGTCGACGATATCGCTGGATATTAAGTGTCCCCAACTAAGAAAGCCAGAGGAACCAAAACTCCATCGGGGACAGAATGGAGAAAAAACCTTGGGAGAAACCAGGCTCAGTCGGGGGACAGTTCTTCTCTGACCAGACAAAACCAGCAGTTCAATTCCAGGCTGCAGCAAAGTTAGATTGTGCAGAGGACTCATCTGGTTCCTGTGGTCTTGTCCTGGTGGCCGTCTAGGAGACAAGATCTTCACTGGGGATCTGTCTCTGGGGCTCATCTAGTTGTCCTGGTCTCCGCTGACATTCAGGGCTGTAGAGGTCATCTCTAGGTGCTGATCCACCATCTGGTCTGGATACGTACTGGATCTGGAGGCTACGGTGACCTCGGAATAAGAAAGAAACAGACTAATATTAGCGTAGATGCCATTCTTCTAGTGATGTAGCAAGTACATCGGGTGTTATGGGAAGTGTTCCCGGTTCCGGTTAACGTAATTAATGCAGCCTAAAAATCCTTTAATGGATTTGAATATTAGAAATGTGTTAGTGTGTTATTTGTAAGCCAGGTTAAAGAGATGGGTCTTTAATCTAGATTTAAACTGACAGAGTGTGTCTGCCTCCCGAACAATGTTAGGTAGGTTATTCCAGAGTTTGGGC